GGAGACTAGGCCAATCTCTGCAGCCATGGTACTGTCACTGACATTTAAGATAGATAGATGGATGGATAGGGGATGGGGATGAATTTGAGCAAAATTAAAAACAAATTTAATTAGGTTAAATAGGAGAATGGGGTAATTAAGCACCTGGATCAGGACAAAATGAAGCTTTAAAACATCAAATCGAAAGTATCACCAATGTTTGAAGTAAGCAGTTGGAACATAGTGAGATTGACACTGTAGTAGTGGATTAATTAATTATTACTCCACACAACCTCCTTTCCTATGGACAATTTCTTTCCTTTGGCTTCTACGCCACACAAATATCTCACCCAGTATGAATATACTACAGCTATATCTGTACTCCAATTCTTTTTAATTTAATCATCTTCTCTCCCACTCTTTATGTCTCAGATGCTACCCCCACATATAAGTTGGTGCCATAACTTCAAATTCTTAAATCGCTCAAATGAAAGGGATTTCACAAATATATCAACCAGAATAAGAATAAAGAAGATTTATGTTTTTTTTAACGGGTAAATTTTTATGCAAGTTTTATACGGTGAACTATTAAACAGACATGCTAAATATAAATCATTTATAAAAATTAATAAATTTTTATACATGTTGAATTTTTTTTTAATATATGGTTTTGTCTCATTTTTTCTCTTTTTTTAAGCAAAATTTCTCATTTTTTTGGTTTAATGATATATATATATATATATATATATATATATATATATATATATATATTGCCGTCTTTATATTCAAAAATTGAAAAGTGATCATTTTGGTCTTTCTCTTAAGAAATTTCATCTATAAAAAAATTAACCATTTGACATTTTTTTTTCAGGAAAATATAATTATTTTCAATTTTGCAAAATAATATAACCAATCATAATTATTTAAGAATGTTGTTTTACTTTACACAAGAAGTTGTCAATGAAAACTTAATATAGATAATATTTTAAAGGATTGTTACGAATACAATTTCACATTTATTTATTTATTTTTGTTTAAATCATAAGCTGTAAAATATTTTAATAAAAAAATTCAAAACAATTGAAATATTTACATTTATTTTATTTTATTTTTAATTTGAAACCACACTATATAAATTCACAATATAAGTGTTCAACATAGTTTTCAATTAATGATACGTTTCTGTCACATTCTTTACATTGATTTTAGCAATGCCAAATGTGTGAGTCTTCCAACCTCAATAAAATCCCAAATATATATCCTCCATATAATAATGTAGTTCAATTGATAACTTTGCTTTCAATTTCGATGAACTTCTTTGATTACAACCAAAACTTCTTCCAATTATGCGACAACACATGTTAAAATTCCAAACAACTAAGACATTTCATCCAAATCTCAAAAAATGCATTTCCTGCATTCAAATGAGGTATGAACTGAACTTTTTCACCACCAGGGGGCAACTCTGACATGCATATGATTTTGCTGATGTAGTTGTAGCTCTCTCTCCTTTTCAGGACAATTTATTAGATGCTTTTACTGTCTTAGCCAATCTTTTATATAAAGTAATCAAAATCATGATAACCCAAAATCACGTTATATTGGAGAGGATATACCTTCCAAATGAAAACGTTCACGTTCAGAGGTACCAGCTTTTCCCCAAACAAATTGTGTCATTTTTTACTGTCGCATATATAAATATATATATGGGCTTCAATGCTATGCTGATCTCACTGTGCCTGAAGGATCCTCACCCTTACCTATGTTATGAAATCTGATATATGATCTAATACTAAAAAACAGTTTCACCAATCTGCGACTCTCCATATATATTTTAAGTTATATATATGTTTATAATGTATGCATGTAGTGTACTGTGTCATCATCATGCAAGTTTGCTCAAGAAAATCTACAAGCTGTGAAGATTTTGCTGATGTAGTTGTATCTCTCTTTTTTATTGTGATGAATATGATTGGAGAATGAAGGATGAAATTAAAAAGTTACCTATACTATTTTCTTGTTCCATTTCTTATTTAATAAAAAAACTACAAATAAAAGAATGCTGATATTTAAAAGCCAGGGAATTTTGTTGTCAGTTTGTCATTATATATGGAAGAATAAAATAAACAAAGAGAAACACTAATGCTCTCTTTTGTAGGTTTCTTCTCGTCAACATGCAACTGCCCCAGCAGAAAAACCTTTAAGGATTGAAATCAAGTATAGTAATAAATTAAGACCACACACATTTAATGAAGAAATTAACATTTCCTGAAGGGAAGACATAGCTTTCTACGCCACGAACAAACCAAGAAACACCCTTCATACGTTCTACTGTCATTGTTTATGTCGTCCCACTAGTCCATGCCACTAAATTTTCAGACATGCATGAAACCTCTTAATTACAGTTAATTTATAGTTCACTTGCACAACAACTCAACATGTTCATTAAATAAATAAATAATTGCATATCCTACTCATTCAAATGCAATTCAAACCAAGGTTCAATTTCTTTCACTGTCTGAGTCTAGTGACTAACGAATGATTTGGATTTTAAAACGGTGGTAATAAAATGATTAAATTAAAATACCATGTCACTGTCTTTATCGGATTATTAACCTTATCATTCCAAAAGTATATTCCTGGTGGCTTGTGTCATTTATTCCCAGCTCCCATAGCTTGTTTTGCACTATGAGTATGAGATATCACATTAATAATCCGATAAAAGACAACTATAAAGGTTGCTCAGAAAGAAGACAAAAGGAGAAGAAAGGAAACGATTCTTGGAAAGTTGCCATGACAACAAATCTTGCATACGTCTCTGTCAAATTAATTAACTAACCTTTCCTGAGGAATGATTTCAAACTAAATAACTCTCTTCTGAAACATTCACTTAACATACGATTTTTTTTCCTCTCCAAAATTTATCATAATCGATACTATTATTTTTCCTGTATATTTCCGTTTTTATTAAATAATAATCGTGTCGTATGTTCTCTAATTCATATTGGGGGTGTAAAATGTTTAAAAATAAAATGAAACAAGGACATAATTAAAAAGAAAATACTTAATTCCAAATAACAAAAAATAAATTACATTTCATCATATCACCAAAGTTAAAATCTCATATTCAATAAAAATAAAAAAATTGAATAACTTATAATTAAGAAACATTCATGATATAATATTTTTAAATTTTAAATTAAAAATATTCATGTGTTATTGGTAAGAGTAATTCAAAACCTCTAAAAAAATACTTATTTTATACATATAATATTATTTTATAGATATAATAGATAAACAAAACATAACACCAAACAATAAGATGGTAACGTTATTCCATCATAACCTAATATCATCAAACTCATGTATAATATATAGTCTTATCACTAGGCCGACTCTAGTGTATTAACTAACATTTATATACAAACAACCACGCATGTTGATTAAAAATAAAACACGATTTTCAATAAAAGTATCACTTACTCGTTGAAATATCTTCGCTTGATGCCTGCGCACATTGTCGTCAATGAAAATGTTAGAATAACATGCAATTACTTCATTTTCCTTGACTGATAGTTTTAATGTATTCTTTCAAAGGAAGATTTTAGGCTTGGGAAAACATAAATTGGTCCAAAGGAACGTGTGAGCTACATGGACTGAAGTAATTTTGAACGGTCATCGGTACTAACTTTTGGACCCACTCATGAACAAAAAATGGACTTGGACCCAAATAGCTATTAAAACCCTAATTTAGAAAATTGTTCTGTTAACGAAAATATCCTTGATGTTTTGTTTGTTTATTAAGATTTTTTTTTTCAAAATGAGCAACCAAAAACGTAAATTAAGTCGAGATAAACAATAAAACTTTTTCCCATTGTGCTGGAAGAGTTGTTAAATTTTAGGGATACTTTTGTGAAACCAAATTTCTGGAAAGATGGGTGGATTTTAAAGCATGCAATTTTAAGGATGCTGACAGCAACGGGCTTTCAAGTGGATTGGATATTTGGGCTTTAGCCTTCATGCCTCTTTTCGAACAAAAACAAAAAGTCCACGGCTATAGGACCAAATTTGTGACCAAATTGGGTTGGAGAATGAGTTAATAACGATTCAAAGTTTGTCACTGATACACAAGCTACACGAGTAAATTCCCGTTAGCATTTTCTACATGAATTTGAAATTAGCAGAGACAAGAGAATGTGAACCTCCTCCTCAATTACAATAAAGACGTTTATATATATATATTTTAAAAGAAGACATTATTTGAGTTAAGTAGACATGTATACTGTAAAATGAACTGCATAATGACTTCTGTTTCTTGAGAAAATATAAAAAAAAATTGTTGCATGTGCCAAAAGAAAAACAATGTAAAGAACCCACAAATTACAATATGAATGATGATAGTAAAACGACAATGTGGTGTCATTATCACCACGTGGTCCAATTGAATGCATCCATGTTTAATAATTCTAGACAAATAAATATTTTAAAATGTGGCTCCTTTCTCGGAAAGAACAAGGAAAATTAGATTATATTAATTTTATGTTGTTAACAAGTTGGCCATTAATGTGTTACAATGAAGCAGACTTTTCTTCGAAATGGTGGCCTAGCCTGGGCCGTGTTTGACAATTTAATTAATAGGTTCTGTGTTTACATTTGTTTTTACAGTTGCAGATATGGATCATTGCCCCTTCCCTTTACGATTACTCTTGTTTTTGCCTCTCACCTTTGAACTTATGAATCTCTTTCACATTTTCAAAAGGCTACCTCTTCAGAATTGGAAAGAAATTAACCCCTCTTATGCAAGTTAGTTCTATGTAGACTATGTGAAAGAATAAACTAATTCGACCTGGTGTGAATCAATGGATGCCAAGCTAGAAAATAATTTTAAACAAATTTTATTTTTTATTTTTTGTTTTTTATATAGGAACAGAAAAATTGCTGAACTAAATTAGTATTTATTTTGGTAAATCTTTTTTACCACAGTTAGGAAGATGAATTTTATGTTACTTTTGCCATAGAAA